CCGGCATGGGAGGCGGTGGGGGACCGCCTATTCCCGGCATGGGAGGCGGTGGGGGACCGCCTATTCCCGGCATGGGAGGCGGTGGGGGACTTGCAAGTCCCGGCAAAGAAGGTGGAAGAGGTGCCCCAATTCCTGGTGGTGGGAGCGGAGGTGGTGGAGGAATAGATGGAGTTGGTATTGGGGGTGGAGGCGGTGGGGTTTTCAACGTTGAGGGAGGTGGTGATGGAGTTTTTTCACTCAAGGGAACTTCTTTGATGCTTAGTTGGGGGGAAACTGGTGTCTGAGATTGGTTCGTGATTGTTGCTTTGTCTGTACGTTGAGTTTCTTCGGTTTGAGTCGATTGTGCTTCACTTCTGGTTTGTGCAAAACCATTTGTTTGACTTGTATTGTCTGTTTGAATTACTTTATTGAAACTACTATCACAGATTTTAAACGATTTGTTTTCTTCGACAGGAGAGCTGAAATCTTCAACCGTTTTCGCGGTCAAGTTTTGGATTTCAATCATGGTTTTGTATTTCTCTACTTCTTGTTTTAACCGATTGATTTCTTCTTCTAGTGCTAGGATTTCTACATCTCGGGCCGAATTTTTGAACTCTTGGTTGCTTCTAGGTCGTTCTTGTTCTGGTTCCCCAAATGGCAGTTCAGGGCTTTTTGGTGATGACATTACAACAGCATCGGTTATACTTGCAGTGAGGAAAGCCTCCGATGGCGATGTCGGAGGCCACGAAACCATACTAAGCCTTCCCGGTGTCTGAGGGACGGACATTGGAGTCTCAGCATGGGCCCAGTAGTACATGCAATCAGGCTGCAAAACATCAACTTCACTCATCAATAAGCAAATATTTCAGTTTCAACCAACTTTGAATATATTGTACATTGGAACATCTTTATCTGGGATTTGACGCAGAACTCCAGCCGCCAGGAGATGAGTACAAAACTGTATCGCCAGAAGTTTCAACTCTTGACCGTTGAGTAACTGAACCAAATGGTGATCTTCACTGAACTCAGACAAGTACCAATTCACCAACATATGACCTTAAACACATTTACAATTAAATACTGAAACCCTGAGTGAGGTTTTAAGGATACATGGGTTAGTGATCACGTTATTCACTGAATTTAAAAAGCATAGCCAACGAATATATTTGAAACTTCATGAATGGCCGCCTAAAAAATAACTCACCAAGAACATGCTTATGTAATGAATTAATTTAATTTACCTAACGAAAGTTACTTGCCAACACACGATACATAATAAAAGTAATAGCAAAAAATTTTGTTTATCTGGTACCATTTGATAAGATTGTAGTAATTGTTTGTACAAAAATTGCTCTAGTGACGTAACGACCAATTTAAAATAAAATGCAGTAACAAGACTCGATTTTTTAATATGGAAATTAATTAAAAGTATGTCAGCTAAACGCGCTTAATTACAGAAAATTGACTCGCCGGTGAATAATTACAACTTCCTGATTTATCAGTTAATATCATGTTTTAATTAACTGATTTTGATACTATTAATTTATCAGGAAAAGCTATCTTACCGCTAAAGATAAAAAAATACCTTCGAATTTTTCATATAGTTGAAAATCTAGTTTTTCTGGAACAAATCTTGGCTTTGTAATTTTTGTCTCAAGTTCGGGTTTATTTAAATTAAGAGAGGCAACTTTTTTTAATACTGAACCATCGGGACTTGGCTTTGTGATTTCAGCAGGAACCGACATATGTCTCTTGTATTCCACATGTCCTGAAAAAACTCATTTTTCCACCAATTTTTTCGTTTATTTATCTCACCATTTGATAAATTGCTATCAGACGTCCTTTTAACCATGTGCGCTACTTTTTGTTCGTCTCCGCTATCTCGCGATTTCCTCTTTAACGTACCACTATCACCCTCGCACTCTTCATCCTTGTTAACAACTTCGACGTTATCTGACACAAAACTGTCGTTCGGATCGCTGTCCAGACTAATTTGGCTTGTTTTGGACACTCCGAGTTTGCTCAATTTTCTTGACTTTTCCTCTTCGTGTCTGGCTCGATATTCATTCAATTTGAAGCTATTGAGAGTGAGATTGTGGAGGAACTCTTCTTGGGTAGTGCTGTTGGGGACTTCGACGTCCAGGGTGACGCTCTCCTCGCTGTAGTAGCATTGGTTCATTTCGGTGTTGAAGCCCATTGGTGTTAAAGGGTCCGTGAAGTTCGAATCGGAGCTTGAAGAGACGGCACTCGGGGGTGTTTTTGTTTTTTTCTCGACATCTTCAGTCAAGCGATTTACTTTACACCAGGAGTCAGTCACCAAGATGTTATCGGTGCTGGTTTTAGACTTTTCTTCGACCGGAAGTGATTCATCCAGTGCCGAGTCTTTAGTTTCTTCAGGGACCACTCCGGTGAATTGCGATGAGTCGACTTTGCCTTTTTTTCCCCTGATTTTCATTAAAGATTTTACTTTACCTTGGGCTTTGCCGGCTTTGGGGGCGTTTTTAGGCTCACTCGTTTGTAAATTCCCCATTTTTCTATATTATCCAAATTACAACAACTCTAAATATTTATGTTTTTAACAAAAACACAGGCGTATAATCACTCGAATTAGCGAATTAGAAAGTGGAATCACATATAAACACTGCAATTTTATAACGCRTTCCATTATTATCTCAACTTCCGGTTTTTGCTCACTATTTGTATAATTTTACTAGTATTATGGTAGATATCACATTTTTGTATACAGAACTGTCCGGTCATCTTTCTGGCTTGACAAAGAGCAGCTGCGCATGGTCGCAGCATGAAATCGATTAGAATCAAAACACTCGGGTGGATTATTATGAACTTTCCCTTTTAATTGTGTTTTAGTGGGGCCTAACTTACTATAAATACTATTTAAGTACT